GCGTGTGTGTGTGTGCATGTGTGTGTGTATGTGTGTGTGGGTGTGGGTGGGAGGGAGGCTCTGGGGGGTGGGCAGTGGGAGAGGGAGAGAGAGAACCTTAAGCAGGCTCCATGCCCAGCATTGAGCTCAGCACGGGGCTTGATTTCACAACCCTGAGATTATGACATGAGCCGAAATCAAGAGGCCGACACTTAACCAACTGAGCCACCCAGGCACCCCAGGAACACTGGAGTTCTAAGGCACTCTGAGGCAGTGTCTCTTAACTGAGAGCCAGGGACCCCCATCACAATGTTTCTCAGTATTTAGTCCAGCTCATTGAATCAGAATTCTTTTGGGTGCTTGTTAAAATTCAGAATCTTAGGGCCAATTCCTTAATCCCCAATGAATCAGAATTTCTGGGAACGGAGTCCCAGTATTATTCTTATGTGTACTGAAATTTCAGAACCAACCCATGGCCTATGCATGGCATTCAGGGGATTTTTTTTTTTACCCACTGAAATTATTTTCAAAAATTCTCTGTGATGATTCATATTGCATTTTTGTACAATGATCATATTACCCATAATAAAACTCTCAAAGCAGTTCATGGCTCAAAATGATTAAACAAACAAACAAACAAACAAACAAACAAAAACCACTGGTTTTAAAAGGAAGTGGGGTTGATTTAGAATACCAAGCAGAAATTTCTCATAGACCCATTTCTTGAACAATTGACAAATCCTAGAAGGGCAAGTTTTGTCCTTGCTCATAGGCCAGGCAGCTCTTCACAGATGCAAACAGCTCAGAGCCCCCAACATTTCTATTTTACCCAGAAAAGCAGCTTCAGTAAATTTTCTTTGAGATCAGATTTCCTCCGGGGTGCACCTGGGGTCTGACCTTACTGTTCTCTATTCTAAAATCATTTGCATTCAGTGAAAGTTTGTCCACATCTAGGAGCCACAGAGTTCCTCTTAAAATACAACAGGCCCCATCAGCTTCAAACTCATATAGGAAAACACAGCTAGGTAGGGAAAGTGTGTGATAGCTCAGCTCTCATCCTCGGTAATCAGGCTACTCACTTTACCTCCTGCTTCAGTTCCTCTTTAGTGAAAAGGAAGGTTTTTTTTTTTTATTTGAGAGAGAGAAAGAGAGAGCTCGCAGGGGAGGGGGTGACAGAGGGAAGAGGGAGAGAGAGAATCTTAAGCAGACTCCCCACTGAGCACAGAGCCCCTGCGGGGCTTGATCCAATGACCTTGAGATCATGAACTAGGCTGAAACCAAGAGGCAGACACCCAACTGACTGCACCACCCAAGTGCCCCCGGAATTTTCTTTAACATCTTGGGATTCTGCACCCAGTTCCAGTGTGTGGGCTTTTTTCTATACCATCAAGCAATTCTTGGACACCAGCTGGGTGTCCTACAATTCAACTCAATTCTGACATTATCTACCTGGAGATAGCATCAGATCCCACAGGTGAAGGGCTCAGTCCCACAAGACTTCTCCCCCTCTCCTTCAGAGGCCAGTCACTAGTCCAAGTTCTTACCTGTGCTTCTGACCAAAAGGCTATAGATCAGAGGCTCCAACCATCCTCCTTGGGTTTGATTAATTTGCTAGAGTGGCTCACAGAACTCTAAGAAACAGTTTACTTACTAGATCACAGGTTTATTAAAAAGGATATAACTCAGGAACAGCCAGATGTAAGAGCTGCATAGGGCAAGGTAGAGGGGAAGGAAGAGCTTCCATGCTCTGTCCAGGCACTCTTCTCTCCCTGCATCTCCATGTATTTAACAACCCAGAAGCTCTGGGAACCCCATCCTTTTGGGTTTTTATGGAGGCTTCATTACATAGGCATGACTGGTTAAATCCGTAACCACTGCTGATTGAACTCAATCTCTAGCCCCTTGCCCCTATCTGGCAGTGGGGAGGGGGTGGGAATGAAAGTTCCAACCCCCTAAACACACGGTTGGTTTCCCTGGCAACTGGCACCCATCCAGAGGAAGTCACTTCATTAACCTAACAATAGACACCTTTATCACTCTCCTCCCAGGAAAACTCCGAGGGGTTTAGGAGCTCTGTGCAGGAACCTGGAGGAAGGCCACATATCTATCTCTTATTTTAAATCACAATAACACACTTTCTTAACTCTACTTACCTCCCAAAGTTTAAGAAAAATAACAATATGAAAGTGAGAAAGGTAGAGACTGTTAGTGGCTACCTAACTCATTTCATTAAGGAAGATCGCAAGGCTCAGAGAGCTCAAGGGATCTGTGAAAAAAGTTCTTAGCTTGATAAAACTGCAAGGACTGTCACTCACATTATCTCACTGACCCTTCAAGATAAGACACTCCAGGGAGAGACAGGCCAGCTGGTTTTAGTACATCCTTTGGCTCTTAAATCAATGCTTTTTCCACTTGACCAACCTGGCTCAAAAAGGAGTGATAAATATGAAATTTCTTTGAAAAAAAAAGGGAATTATAAATACAATGCACTAGTATGACTATCGCACCCATGATTCTAAATATGATTTTTGTTTGCAAATGGAAACAAAGAATCATTAGCCACACGATATAATAAACAGAACACCAGGCTAGTATTCAGAACTGGCCTAGAGGTACCCATTTCTCAACAGCAAAGGACCCTTTTGTCCTAAATGGAAATTGATTCAGTCATTCATGCACACAATTATCTAATCCAAGCAATTATCTAATCTTTTAAAACTTGATTTTTCATAACCAGTCTTCCTAGCCACAAATTTGCCTCAGAGAGCCTTTTATGATACTTGCTTGAGGTAACACCAAACTTTTTTCCAGAGTACTTCCACACTGGGCAATGTCTATTGGTTAGAGAAGAATGAGGCTGAAGTGGCATATAAAATAGTCCAACAATAATGAAATGCAGATAAACAAAATCTGATCTTACACATTCAAGAAAAACTTCTCATTCATTGAGAAGCTGAGAAGTTTATATTCCGGATTTAACATGTATGTCAAAGGAACCATCTCTTTAAAGTCAAACAAGTCTGTTTTGAAGCCAAACAAAAGTGAGAAAGGAAGAAAAGCCCTTGGCAAAATTCAAAATTCCAGCTATTCAAAATAGGATATTAACTTATTAGTCATGTGGGAAGCACTGAATATATTTACTGCTATCATCTTCCCATAAGGCTTTTCCACAAGTTGAGACTGGGAAATGTACACAGAAAAGAATAACATAAAATAAGTATAGAGACTATTGGCCGTATAAACTCCATGAAGTCCTCAAACAGAGGATGTAGCAACATACTTTTCAAGCCAGTGTGTGTCACTAGAGACAGTTAATATTAAAAATGAAGTTGAATATTTGAGTGGTTGAAAGGGTCCACTGTATATATTCTCCACTAATATCCTTAAAAATCTATAGTTATTTTGAGAATGATTACCAGAAATCACTCCATTCCCCTATCCTCCTCCTCTTCACCGTTACCAACTACAGATCTTCTTAAAATATATTTCATAAGACAAGCAAAATAAGGAAGACATTTGAAGATTTGCATTCTTCTCCTCCCTTCCTCTGACATAACTGAGTTGAACATATCATTATGAAAAGTCAAAACTAATAACAGATTTGTGTGGCTCACAAATGTAATCCAAATCTAATCTATCCCTGAAAGCCTGCTAGTGAATTTTTTTTATTCTTATGTTAATCCCCATACGTTACATCATTAGTTTTAGATGAAGTGTTCCATGATTCATTGTTTGTGCACAACACGCAGTGCTCCAAGCAGAATGTGCCCTCCTCAATACCCACCACCAGGCTAACCCATCCTCCCACCCCCCTCCCCCAGAACCCTGTTTGTTTTTCAGAGTCCATCGTCTCTCATGGTTCGTCTACCCCTCCGATTTCCCCCTCTTCATTCTTCCCCTCCTGCTACCTTCTTCTTTTTTTTTTTTTCTTAACATATATTGCATTATTTGTTTCAGAGGTACAGATCTGAGATTCAACAGTCTTGCACAATTCACAGCGCTTACCAGAGCACACACCCTCCCCAGTGTCCATCACCCAGTAACCCCATCCCTCCCACCCCACCCCCCACTCCAACAACACTCAGTTTGTTTCCTGCGATTAAGAATTCCTCATATCAGTGAGATCATATGATACATGTCTTTCTCTGTTTGACTTATTTCACTCAACATAATACCCTCCAGTTCCATCCACGTCGTTGCAAATGGCAAGATCTCATTCCTTTTGATGGCTGCATAATATTCCATTGTATATATATACCACATCTTCTTTATCCATTCATCTGTCGATGGACATCTTGGCTCTTTCCACAGTTTGGCTATTGTGGACATTGCTGCTATAAACATCGGGGTGCACGTAGCCCTTCAGATCCCTACTTTTGTATCTTTGGGGTAAATACCCAGTAGCTGCTAGTGAATTTTTATGGTAGGACCCTATGTTTCATTATTTTAAATAGGAATAAAGCAGCACACTGTGTTCTCAACCCTTCCAAAAATTCCAACCTATTTCCCCAAATATCACTAAAAACACTGTGCAATATCTACCTATAATTCACCAATTGTCTAATTCTTTGATACTTACTATACTCCTTGGTGGATAGTTTTATATGCCAGACCCAACAGTACTATATAGTTTCAGATATTATTACATTTTCCTTCTACATTGCAACACACATGTACTCTGAAATGAAGAAATTATCAAGCCACATAGTGAAGATGGACAGTGAATATAAATAACATTAGCAAGAGGACTTTTAAAAGCAAAGCAGTTTTAAAAATAGCTGCTTCCTGACCAAAGAGTTGCCTGAGACAAGTTTGGCTAAGAGAAGCTGCCCGATGGTAGGTGAAGGTGAGCAAGAACAAGCTGGTAAAAAGAAAGAAACATGCATGTTTGAGGTTTACCCACACCCAAGCACAAGGAACTTAGGGACTTTCTTCTTCTCCAGACACTCAAGTCTCCAGGAGTGGTGGCTAGAGACCATTGTCTGAAGGTTTAGATGCAGTAATGCATGATCCCTTCTGACCTCTTACTAGTACAGGCTCTTTTGAGGCTCTTAGGCTCACTAGTTCCTTCTCAGGTTTGTCCATCTCCTTTTAAAAGGACATGTTATTTAATAATGTGGGAAGATTCGGGACGCCTGGGTGGCTCAGTTGGTTAAGCGTCTGCCTTCGGCTCAGGTCATGATCCCAGGGTCCTGGGATCGAGTCTCTCATTGGGATCCTTGCTCAGCAGGAAGCCTGCTTCTCCTTCTGCCTGCCGCTCCCCCTGCTTGTGCTCTCTCTCTCTGAAAAATAAATAAATAAACCCTTTAATAATGTGGGAAGATTGAAGGGGGCTCAGAAGTATACTATTCCATGTGTTAACAAGCAGAGAAGAAATAAATATTGGTAAAACCAACCAAAAAAAGTTAAAAATAGGATAGTGAATGAACATGCACATGTGTAGATAATCAAAAGTAGATTGATATACACCCCAGGAAAAAAAAGATTAACCCCAGAGACCTACATGTGCGTTCTAGGCTAGTGAAGAGAACAGACCCTCAAACCAGAAGGAGGACTCAGTCAATTATATTTGATCCAGGCAACCATAACCACAAATGATCTTACTGACCCCTTAAAAACAACACAATAATGTAAGTCGTTATTCTGGGCTGCACTGTGTCCCTCATGATTCTTATGTTGAAGTTCTAATCCCCAGTACTTCAGAATATGACTGTATTTGTTGCTAGGGTCTTTAAAGGGATGATTAATGTTAAATGAGGTCATTGGGTGAACTTTAATCCAATATGACTGGTGTCCTCATAAGAAGAGATTGGGACATGGACACAGACAGAGGGATATGACCATATGAAGATACAGCAATAAGGCAAACATCTATAAGCCAAACAGAGAGGCCTCAGGAAAACCCATCCTGTCAACATTTTGATGTCAGACTTCGAGCCTTCAGAACTATGAGAAACTAAATTTCTGTTGTTTAAACCACACAGTCTGTGGTATTTTGTTATGGCGGCCCTAGCAGAGTAATGCAGGAGGACAGTTAGTATTTCATCTATTTTAAATATAAAAATATTAGAGATTCAGAAAAAATTGAAAGACTTGTCCAAGTTTATATAACATTTCAAGGCAAAAAATAGAATTAGGTTATCAGCCTCAACTCCCAGCCTTGTGTTCTTTCCCCTATACCAGCACAAGGACACATTGCTTGCCTGTGACAGTTCTATGCATCAAATGTCTTGAAGTGTGGGTTCTGCTTCTGTTTCCCAGGGTGAGAGATAGTGAGCCCTTTTTTGTCTATTTCAGTTCTGTATCTGCCTAGGGCAGGTTTACCTCTGGCATCAAGTGGCCTTTCAACTTCTTAATATGATTCAGTGGCAAAAGTCTGAAGGATCAAATAAAGAGGGGATAAAGGTTCCCTGTTATCTATAGCACTCCAGCACTGTCAATACTAATTTTAATTAGTGCCTCAATAGTATAAAAAAAAAAAGAGTTTTAGGAAATCACATTAGAAAGACTATTTTTAAATTTTATTGTGCTGAGTCTCCAGAGTTTTTACATCCATTTCAGATTTGGGACAGCATGAAAGGTGGGGCCAGATGCACCTTCTAGTCTTTTTCTACCTTGAAAATTAATGATGGAAAGGCAGCCATAGAAATTGCAATCATGAGGGGGCTGTGTAGTGCAGTTGGTTAAAGCTTCGACTCTTGGTTTCGGCTCAGGTCTGATCTCAGGGTCATGAGATCGAGCCCCACATCAGGCTCTGTGCTCAGCTCAGAGTCTGCTTGAGTTTCTCTTTCCCTCTCTCCTAGCCCCTCTCCCTCTCTCTCACTGTTTCTGTGTCTCTCTCACTGGAATCTACTCCTGTCTGTCCTCTCTCGTCTCAAATAAATCAATAAATCTTTAAAAAGAAAAAAAATTGCAATCGTGGTCACATAATTTTCCTTTCTACTTCAAAGCCCGCAATGACTATCCACTGCTGGAAGACGGAGTTCACAATTCCAAGTACAGGCAAGAGGGCCTGCATGATCTGGCTCTCACTGACTTTGTTATCTCCACCTATTCCCTGTACACCTCATGCTGTTTGTGACATTTGAGCGTTCTCATTTCTCTGAAGATTCCAGCCATGTCATATGTGCCTTTGTTCATGTTCTTCCCTCTGCCAGAAATGCGCTTTCATTATATTATGTGTCTGGTCAGGCCCTATTTATCTTTTAAAATCCCACCTCTTGGTCACCTCTTGGTCTTCCCCAAATCTCCCCTCATCCAGCATAATTGACCCCCATTTCAGCTAACCATACTTCTATTTTGAGGCTTATTCCTTTATCCTGGGTTTAATTTTTTATTTATATGGCTCGACCCACAATGCTGCCTCATGCAGACTATGATCTTTATGAAAGTGGGGACATAGCTTGTTCATTTTTGTATCCTCAACCCCAGCACAGAGCTTATGCTGTTTTTTTTCCCCTAAATTCAGTGACTCTAATATCTCTTTTATTTGATTTTCAGTTCCTTCCATAATCGTTTTAGAAGAAAGACCAATGGGATCCACAACTGGGGACTTTCACATATTGGTTTAACAAAAGCAGTCATTAACTGTATCTCAATAAGTCAGAACAGTGGAAAACCAAAGTCAATCTGAGAGCCTCCAACTCATGCCTCACAGGATCTCTGCTCAGAGTGAAGCACCAGTTAACGTTGGTCAACGGGACCATAATAGGGAAAAGAAGGAACTCCTCCAGACACTGACTATGGAGAAAGATGGCTAATACTAAACACTTGAATGTATATTATGTCAGATCACTAAGAAAGGATACGGACAATTTTGTCTTCTGCATTGACAGACTACACAATGTAAACAAACACAGAACCCCTGATTGCTAAGACAACCTCTGACCTATCTCTCTGAAGATCATGCCAGAGACACCCAAACCCTGAAGCAAGGGATTCAGCAGGGGGGCCAAAGCTAAGACAGAAATTTGGTGCCATTTGAATTTAGGAGTGAAAAATGCAATGCTTTCTCCAGAACATTTTTCACATAGTTTGTGACATGATTCTTTAGCTTATTTTTGGCTTGTGTGACACAAACTTAGGGAAGAACTCACCAGGGGCTCAATCATAGATGGACACTTAGGAACATGCCTGCATATTTACTAACTTCCTGCCAAGTCGGGATTCCCAGCACCAAAAACAGGGTTCCAAGTGACTCATTCATCTAAAATAGAGCTCTTGGGATTTCCCATAGGATCACAGAGCCCCCAGCACGGCAGAGTTCGAGGATCTACCCTACCTCTGACCCCAATCCCTTCCATGGGAAAAGCGCTAATCAGGCTGTTTCTGTGTCTCTCTCACTGGAATCTACTCCTGTCTGTCGTCTCTTGTCTAGTCTTTGAGAAGATACCAGAAAGGCAGCTGCATTTGCCGTGGGAGGAAGACATATGCATAAATGTTAACTGAACATCTGATAGAAGAGCTGATTTAAGGAGTCTTGGGCTATACACAAAAAGATAGCTGGAAGGTGAAAGATGCAGTCACCCAAGAGATTTGTAAACACAAACCACTTAAATTACAAAAAGTTACTGTAGCCTGGCATGGTCTGTGGAGAGGGACATAACCCTGCCTAAATGGAGCACAGGTAATGAGAAACCCCTTCTAAACCCCTTTCCCTAACCACGGATGAACCTTAAGCTTGTCTGTCTCTTATGTAAGTCACCTCAGGAATACACAAAGCTGCTACTCCATACTGCCCATGTCTATAGCAGGGAATGGATCTTTACTACTTTGAGGAGCTCAATTTTGATCACGGTGGTGTTTGTATAACCTGAGTATACTTACAAATTGTCCCAGAGAGAAAAGAAAAGTTTTTTTTTTATGTCTTTGATGATATGCCTTGCTTTTTCGGAATGAGTTGTACCCGCTGCTTTAGAGATGTAAGGAGACGAGGTATTGTGCACTGCTTTCTATTGCAATTCGGCAGGTCCCCTCTCTTTGTTCTGAGTTGGTGGGTTCCTGCATTCCTCTGCTACTATATAGAAACAGTACCTCTCAACCTAGATTCTGGGGGTGTCATTTAGGACAAAGCATCAGACCCATGTCCAGTGCTGTAGGAACTCATGATGTGTGCCAGTTACTCATGATGTGAACATGACTATTAAATCCAAGAGAGACCATGTACACGCGTGCACGTGTGTGTGTGTGTGTGTGAGTGTGTGCGAGACCATTCTGAACATGTTGCAATGAGTGTCTTAGACTAGGAAAAAGCTTTGGAGGCAAACTAGCTGTGTGGTCTTAGGCAAATTTCCTAACTTCTATACGTTTGTGCTTCTTTATACATGAAATGGCAATAATACCATATACCTTACAGAAATTGTGTAAAATTGAGGGATATTATAAGTAAAGTGTGGGGAACTTAAGAGAAGCTCAAAAATTAATTTTATTTTTATTATGATTATTAAGTTGGAAAACAACTGTTCCACACACTGGCTTTTTTAACCAGTGTATCTCTTTAGAAACATCACAAGGAAACGATTCCTGACTTCAGGTTCTCTCCCATTCCTTGAGGAATTCTCTGATCAAAGACTCAAGGGAATCCCTTTGTGAAGAGTAGAGGTAGGCTTCCAAGAGTGTCCCTGGGCCATTTATTGGTCAATGAGGGTTATAGTAATGAAACTTTTCTCAGGAATTAACAACCAAAGGGTGGGTCTAGCGATATCTCTTCTTAAAAGGCAAAAGTAAACTCTCACTGACTTTCAATTCAAATAAAATTGAGGGTCGCCCGGTTGGCTCAGTTGGTTAAGGAGTCTGACTCTTGGTTTCAGCTCGGGTCATGATGTCAGGGTTGTGAGATCGAGCCCCGTGCTGACCTCGGTGCTCAGTGGGGAGTCTGCTTGAGATTCTTTTCCCCTCCCGCACCCTCCCCTCTTGCTTTTTCCCCCCAACTCATGCAGGTGTGTTTACGCATTTTCTCTCTATGTAAATAAATACATCGTCTTTAAAAAAATAAAAAATAAAAGAGATGATATATGTGTATTAGTCAGGGTTCTCTAGAGCAACAGAACTAATAGTATATGGACAGATACAAAAGAGGAGATTTATTATGGGAATAGACTCATGTGATTATGGAGGCCGAGACATCTACAATATGTGGTCTGTAAGCTGGTGAACCAGGAAAGCTGGTGGTATAATTCAGTCCCTGTCTGAAGGCCGGAGAATCAGGGGAATCAGATGGTATAACTCCTAGTCTGAGGCTGAAGGCCCAAGAACCAGGAGTTTTCCATGTCCAAGGAAATGC